GGAGGCGCCCGGGGGCTGGGGCCAGGCGTCGGCTGTCGGGGCGCAGGGATTCCGCCGATTCCCCCCTGTCATGGTGTCAGTGTCGGCGGTGAGTTCTTCTGGAGAACCATGGAGGAGAGAAAGACACTTTTATTCAGCCTTTTCCTCTGCCTGCTGGTGTCGGAGCAGCTCTGTCTGAGCTCGGTCCTCAGGATCGGTAAGCGCCACAGCTCTTTACGCACGAGGATGGAGAGGATGCTGAGGTGTGTGGTGTGTTTACGGACAAGTGGGAGAAAATCTGAGGTGTTTGACGTGAAGCGACATAGAAGAGGGAACGCCGTCTTGTCATTTTTTTTTTTAGTCTGTCTCTTGTCATTAACTTTTTTTGTCCTTCTTATCCATTTGGGCGAGAAAAAGAAATCTTCCAAATTCAATTTAGTTTCATTTAATCTGATTATTCTGGAATACAGAGCGGGGATTAGGCTGTAAATTACTTTTATTATATCAGTCATTTATATATTTTTTTTGTTGGCGCTAAGTCAAAGATAACCTGCAACAATAGACACCGTTATCTGCTCCAAGCAATTTACTCAATTTCCTCTTTTTTTAAAAAAAATAGCTAAGGCAGGTGGCGCTCTACAAAGTCAGTAAAAAAAAAAAGAAAAGAAAAGAAGTGATGATCAGTAGTAAAAGCACATCAGGTGGAAAAACCTGGGCTCGATGCAGCGTCTGTGATGTGTGATGGTGTTGAAGGCGCTGTGATGATGATGATGTCATTGAAGTTGACCAGGATGTGGAGTCCAGGTGAGCGGGTCAGAAACTGCAAAGTTATGGTTTGGACACGTCCTGTGAAGGTGGGACACATGGACAAAGGAAGTTAGAGACGGTCCTGTCTGAGGTCGGAGTAGTTGCTGAAGGACATGAAGATGATTTTTTTTTTTTACTCATAAAACCCTTTTTAGGGGCCACGCCATGGTGCAGTGATTAGAGCTTTTGCCTTACAGCAGGAAGGTCAGTGGTTCCTGTTCCCATTGGGGAGATGATTTCCATGGTTCGTCAAAATCTAACTATCTGGCCCTAATATGCAGCCTACACATACACAGCCATGTCTTGGTCGATTCAGTCCACGTGGGCCACAGGTTGGCTACAGGGACCACTTTCTCTGGGCCACTTCAGGCTGAGAAATATTTGTTTTGCACAG